ACAAGGTAATACTGATGCACAATATAATCTTGGTCAGTGTTATAATAATCAAACAAGAGTAGGAGATGACTGAGAGATCTCATGTCAAAAGCTATAAACCATATAAAAGACATGGTGAACAGCAAGGGGTCATTTGTTCACTTTGTCTTGCAAATAATGGAAAAAGAATATTAAAAAAACAATATCAGAATATAATAAATATAATATTTAGATAAATTGTCAGTTTTTTTTGGCAGCAAGGAAAGGATGAAAACATTACTCCTGCTGAACTGGAGGACAAACCCTATGAATTATGAATATTATTATTACATGCAGCAAAAAGATTAGATTTTTGAGTAACTTATTATTTATATTATGATTAAATCTCTGTAGTTCTATTGATTAACTATAACATGCAATTGACTTATAATGTATGTCAACCAGAGATTCAAATATTGTTGTCTGCCACCACCATAATGGAATGGCATTGAATAAATCAATCAATTTATATGCTGCCAAGTATATTTGGATGGCTCATTTCTTCTGCAGTAACAACAGTTGGACCTTTGAAAATCCATTATAATTTATGATAGGTTAGCTTTAGTTTATAATAAAATTTACAATAAAGTTTAGTGCGAAAAACTTCTTTATCTTAGACAACTTTATTATCATAAACAAATTTCATCCTATCACATTTTTATTATGTAAAAAGATGTAAATTTTCCATGAGAAACAGAAATATTGTGTCAATACATGAATACGAATGGTACTAACATAATTGATTGACAATTAAAGCAGGTTTTTATAAAATTAATGCTACAATGAATGTTAAACTTTTTATAGTTGCTAATACATGCTCTGATGATGAATAGTAAATCGTGTGACGTAATACAATAAGACATAGACAATTTGAAAATTTCTCATTTGAAAATTTTTCATCCAAATCATGTCGTTTGTTCAGACGTCCAAGCACATATGTAACACAGTGATTGACATTTCGGTTCAAACCCTCTTACAAAGTGAACTTGAACTTGGACAGATTCCTTGCTCGCTAATCACTAATATAAGAGCAACTCAAATTGACGCTGTCCATCATGCTATCTACGAACAAACAATTGATAATCGCAGAGTTGATACACTGGTAACGCTGGTATTACTTGGCAGCATCGATGGATATACATCAATGCTCGTGAATGAGTTTGCCAGAATATACTCACTTCCGACATGCAAGTACAATGCTGCTGTTAGTCACTTTCAGCGATATTCCCAATGGCTTAGTAATCGCAATGAACTCATAATTGGATTTACCAAGTATGATGACAAATGTTACATGGTTGCTTATGAACGCTTTTACTATTGTTATGTTCGATATGGATTCTGCCCTGCATGTGGAATACTGCGATGTAGTCCTGTATGGTGCATCTGTGGGCATAAGCAACCATCTGATGGCTGGACTAGCAACAATAAGCAACTTGATGAGCTTATTAGGAAATCTCAATTTCAAACAAATTCAGCAAATGAGGCTTATTTGGAATGGATTCCATTCAATTGTGTTGAGCCTAAGTGGAAATATGGATATGCAGATTTATCAAATGGTCTACCCACTTATGTAGGGACTAAGTTGATCCCACTTGAGATAGTGGATGAGACAGATGATTCATATTATGATAAGGTGATTATCAACTACAACTTATATTAGATGTTAGATATAAATATTAACTCATTATTTTATGTATCATTTTACTAGCTATGTGATAAGTATTCAGATATTCTTGCTACAGATATTTGGGTTACTATTGGAGTTACCTACAACACAAGTGAGCAGGAGTATTGTCTAATAAAAGAATACAGGGAATATGAATTATGTCTGGCATGTACACATGAGTTATCACATAAGATAAATGCATTCTGTTATTGGTGTAAATCATCAAGACCTCCCAATTGGACTACAGGCAACAAAACTTTGGATTCATTTATTATGAAATCATGGAGTAATGTTAGGCACCCTAGTGATGCATTTATCCAATGGATAGAATATTCTCTATTGGTAGACATACAACAGATGACATTACTACACCATGAATGCACACATATAGCAAACTGGTTAGACACAATGGCAAATAAATGGACAAGAGTGATACTCAAGCAAATAGTAATAGATGGCACTCAGTCACTTGATTATCAAAAGGTAAAATATTTCCATTACTATGTAAACAATGATAGTATTTCCATGTGTTAATTGATGACTGATGTAATTATTGTATTTTTTTGCTCAAATAGCTAATTAATGAACATCCAGATATACTGACACCACATAATATTTGGATAATTGGATTCACACAAGAACCATTTACTCAAGCATATTATTTAATTTTCCACTATGAAATACATTTAATAGTGGACAAAATTATTGATTTTTATCTTTTACCAAAGCACATACACTATAATGATTTTTATGGACTAAAAGAGATTGGGTCTGGGAGTTACAGAACAGTCTATACTGCCAAATACAAGTATTCAGAATAAGAAGTGGGTCATATTCCAGAAACTGTTGTACTAAAATGCTTTAAAAGTTATGATCAGACACTAGAATTATTTATTAATGAGGTAAGCAATCTTTTACATTATTATTAAAGAGATATTTTAATCTGACTTTGTATTTGTTTATTTAACAGTTCCGAAATCATGCCCAGCTTTCAAGCTGGAATATGACATTCCTCAAACTTTATGGTGTCATGCAAGACCCAGAAGCAGGAGAGTACATGATGGTTATGCAATATGCTAACAGTGGTAATCTTTTGTCTTATTTGGAGCGAAATATTAACAAATTGACCTGGAAGATGAAGTTAGAACGTTTGTGCAATATTGCGCGTAATCTCTGTCATATTCATTTAGATGGATTAGTGCTTTGTGATCTTCATGGTAGAAACATAGTTTTGGATGATGATCATAAATCATATATATGCGATCTTGGCCGTTCTCAATTGGTAAATTCACATCGACAGAATTTAGCCATTCAAGCCATTTCACCCTTTACTGCACCAGAAGTCTTTCATACTCGCACATTTACTAAGAAATCGGATGTATATTCTTTTGGTATTATTATGTATTTGATGGCCACTGGTGAACTACCATTTAAGGATAGGCAGTTTGACGGAACTTTAATATGCGATATTATGAATGGATTACGACCATTGATGCCTGATTCAGCACCAGAAGAATACAAGCAACTTGCTGAGCAGTGTTGCGATGCTGATCCTGATAAGCGTCCAAAATCAGAGGAAACCCATCAACGTATCACAGAGGTACTGCAGTATAATTGTAACTATTATTTTTATAACCAAAATCCATGGAATACTGTTTATCATGTTTTATGAAGTTGGGACCAATATAATACGAGTGTTTTCGTTTATTCTTACAAAAAATAAAACTAACATGTTTACGCTCTTTGTTTGCTGATATTTCTATTCACACTTTATACCAAATACAGTACATATTAATATTGATATATAGTCAGTCACATTTCTGAAATTTTTTGTCGATCATTTCCGAAGTCACATATTAATATAGTCGCCAGCCCAGCATAATATACACTGCAATGGTGCCGTAACTATCTTCTTTTTAATTTATAACTATAATCTTAAAAACCGAGATAACCCGACTTTATTTAACGAACAAATCTTGTTATACTGGCAAAAGCTAAACTTCGACATTATTACAGACCCCCTAGGCAATCGAAGTCAATTCATAACATTTTTCTTTAAAAAGTAGCTATGAATCTTAACTCTGTAAATTTGTTTTAATCCAATGTCATCAGATGTTCGGTTTTATTTGCGAAAAATTAAAGTGACGTCCGAATATTATGTCTAGTGATAAATTTCGAGAAGCAAATCGACTCAGAGTTTTCATTATCCGGATAAAAATAATGAGTTGTGCTTCCAGCTTTTGGCCAAATGTATTTGCCCCTATTGTCCTGAATTTTTTTTTTCATAATGGTAATTACTGGTATGAATAATTTACGGTTAGTGCAGCTCGTCTATGAGCTTTGAGAAATTCAACATTTGATTAGATGTCGCTAATCCATAACACTTGCCAAAGCCAAAGCCAGACTAGTTTGGAAAATTGGTCTATCTGACTAAAAATTTAATTTATGTTATATACTGTATACTAAGACTTGGATAATTACTCGTTCGAAAATCTACCAATATAACGTTAACTTCAATAGACAATAACTTAGTATTAGTCTTATTATTCATTCATTATGTCAACAATTGCAATTATCTCACTATCAAAGAGAATTTATGTCAAGTTTAAACCAAATGCTGCCAATTTTATCGGCCGGTCGTTATATCTTAGTCAAGGGTTTGCCTCATTATTTTCTTCGCTGAGAGAGGTTTTCATTCCGCAAGGTTTGCGATTAGAGTTTACGTAAATTACCAAATTCTCCATGTTGGGTATTCTTGCTCAAAGAAAACATTAAGTATAAAAGTTATTCATCAGTGTTTTATGCTGTTTGTTTTGTTTTGAAAGCAATAACAAACGTATAGCATTTTGACTACGTCGACTGGTGGATGACAATAATACTGTATTAGACACAGTATTTATTTATTATTGCTATATGGTAGTACTAATATAGTAACCAGGCATGTTTTTAAATTAGACAAAACTGTTTCGTTTTTGAGTTAAAAAGCACTACTGTTGCTCTATATATTAGAATTACAAAAACTTTTATTAAAATAAGCATTAATATTAATAACTATGTCAACCACAATTTATACCGTCTTAGACAGAATAGATAGATAAACCCCCTCATAACAGTCCGCCTTCTTATTGGGCTTCTATTCTCTTAATTTACTTATGTATGAGCGGGGATTGTATTGTTAGATAAACTCGTCATTTATTTCCCATTCAATCTATCACTATTAATTGTCGTATTTAAACAATCTATTCCTTCCTTCGTTTCTAACTCTTTTATCTCCAACTCTTCCGTCTCTAAGCCATTCATTTCTATCCCTCCGAACATGTCTATTAAAGCAGCAGGCATACATTCGTATCGACAAGAAAAGAAATAATCGGTGTTTGTGAGTGTTAAAAATATGAGTGCTGTACTATGTCTTTTCTTGTATTGCCGAATAGAAACAAGCAATATTACATTTCAGGCACCGAGGCGGAAGTTACTGGCGTCGTAGGAAAGGTTCTTGAATTGGGGCTAGTGAGCTCGTTTGCCGTCGCTGCGTTGAAAGTATCAAAAATAAAGTTAATGAGAAGATTGATGGTGTCAAGCGAAGACTTGATGAGAGAATTGATGGTGTCGAAACAAGGCTGGATAATGTCGAAAAAAGCTGGATAGGATAAAAACAAGTTTGAGCAAAGATTCGACAAGTTAGACGCAAAAATCGATAAATTAGGAGATTTCATGATCGCACAAGCCTTAAGGTAACAATGTATTTATTTTCAATGAAACTAGCAATGTTTGAGATATGTTTGGTATCTTTTGTAGGGAAGGATCTATTTATATAATATAATCTACCTTTTTTTCCATAAAAACTAGACT